AATCAACTTTTACAAATCACCTTTTACAAATCAATTAAACAATAAAAAAATAAGCAATAATTATTAGAGAAAATAACACTTCTACTATTGAATCAACTTTTGCAGCCATACATCATTTTCACGCAGCTCACTTCTGAGATTAACCTGCATAACCAAACATTTGCTCAAACAACACTTTCTACACATCTAAAACCTACAAACAGCAAATTATTGAATTCTAGGTACTTAACCAAACATTTTCAAACCACAAGCCTATAAACATACAAATTATTTATGGACATTTTTATAACGCGGATGCAGGTAGGCAGCGTCTCGTATATATCGATCTAGCCATATAATGTCGAAACCACAAGCCTACTGCAGCTCTATCTATATCAGTGGGAGGTAGATACTTTATACTTCCTGTGATCAAACGGTCCAACACCAAGCATACGAGAGGACCACAATCCCCTCTGGGTTCTTTCGTTTGTTGTGGTGCGGTCTCGTCTCTGCTAACTGTAATATTGAGCTTCTTTGGCTTCTTGTTTCCAGAACGAGTCCAATAATTTATCGCATCCAAGAATTTAGCCAAATAAGAGCTTCATCCCTTAATAATATCTCTTAAATCAGCCAATGATATGTAATTTATCATGCTGTCATATACTATTGCCTTAAGGGATGGGATCTGAAGCTCGACGAGAAGCCAATGGTTACGTTCCAAAACAGGGATAAACACCTGCAATCATAAGTAATAATTCATTCATTTGCGCACTTATTTATGAATACCTTTAAACTCAATCTAAAATAAACACTAACCTTATCGACCTCCCACCATGCAGGATAAAGTTTAGCTTGTCCATTGCCCAACGCAAATGATTCATCTCGTTGATTCTTCAAGTGAACGGCGTTAAAAGACGTCGGCATAATTGTATATCGTGTATTTTTTTTATTTTCCTTAAATTTCCTAATTATTAGAAGACGTGACACCCACGCATCGATATGCTGTTTTACAAAAAAAAAGACATATATTAGTAACTTACATAAATTTACAAAAAAATAATCAAATTAAAATATAAGAAAAATATAAGACTTACCCCTCCATCGAAATAGCTATTGTCTTCGACCCCTAATAATAAGCCCCACCAAGACCGATCAAGCAACAAATAGATATCATCATTGAGCTTGCATATGTCAGTGAAACACCCCTGGCTTCGCTCATGTAGATAAAAATCAACTGCGGTCTTAACCCAAAGGGTGTTATCCAGAATTGTGTCCGGTAGTTGTTCCCTCTCCACTTCAGATACCGGTATGGTACTGGCCGGTAACTCATACGAGAGCCAACTTGAATCCATCATGTCCGGCACGTCAGAGGGTTTCTCAAGAATCCTACATATGACGCCATGTGAATCGGGCTCTTGAATGGTGGGAGGGACCTCTTCAACGATGACAGTGGCCTCTTGAACGGTGGTAGGGGACTCTCGAGGAATGATAGAGGCCTCTTCAATGATAGGAGTGGACTCTTGAGGGATGATAGTGGCCTCTTGAACGGTGGGAGGGGACTCTCGAGGAATGATAGGGGCCTCTTCAACGATAGGAGTGGACTCTTGAGGGATGACAGGCGAGTCGGGCTTCTTCTTGCGGTGTCTTCGCACTATTGGGGTATACGGAGACTTAATAGCACGTGCACGCCGTCTGATGCGTGAACTCTGTCGTGCAAGAAAAACCCGACGTAAAGCATCCACCTTATCGGTCCGCTAAATAATTAAATACAAATATCAGTAAATAAACGGACATGATATTTAAACAGTGAAAACAAAGAAAAATATATTTCAAAACTTCAACCAAAAGACAAAACAAAGACAAATACTAACTTCACAGTGTTAAAGAATACACAGTTTAACAGAATTGGCAGCAACCGAATAAATTTACTTCAACCAAAAGACAAAACAAAAAGACAAATACTAACTTCACAGTGTTACTAAACAATTTAGCAGTATTGGCAGCAACCGAATAAATTTACTAAGTAATCTAAGTGAAATGGTTAATTTAAGTGAAATTACGAGTAAATTTATCATCAAGTTAAATATGGAAAATCTTAAACTTACCTCGTTGCGTAGAGTATGAACCTCATTCTGCAACGATACTACCATCTCACTTAGAGCGGCAACCTCACCACGTAAAGTAGACACCTCCACACGCCATGCACCATCGTTATCGCGTAGAGTACCGATCTCCTCACGCAAGGCATTGACCTCCACACGCCATGCACCATCGTTATCGCGTAGAGTACCGATCTCCTCACGCAAGGCATTGACCTCATCACGTAACTCCCTTGACTCATCCCGTGGAGGTGGAGAACAGGGAGATAGAAGTCGTGGCATCTTTGCCGGTCGCCTATCATGAGGTGATGGTGGAGAAGAGGCTCGATGATGTGACGGGATAGGTGATGGCTCTCGTTGTAGAGGTGTATAGTCGGGTCGATCAGGTGATGGCTCTGGGTGAGGTGATGGCTCTCGAAGTGGAAGAAGTGGAGGCTGCTCATCATTCGTGCCATCAAGAAAATGCTGACTAGCTTGCCACCAATCAGTGGCAAGCTCAGCCTCCGTGGGTATCAGTCTCATTAATGGAATGTTGGCCTCCTAAAAATATAAAAACTCAAACAAAGTTAAACGTCTACTATTAATAACTTGTTTATATATGATAGTATTTGTGTTAACTTACATTATTTATTGTCGCATATGGTATTAAGTCTTCCCAATCCAACAGACGTTTCCTCTTCCAGGAAATAGCCCTGGGAATATCATTTGAAGTTTTTATTGCATATGTCTTCATGGCGGGAAAGGCCTCGAATATCCAAATCTACAAACAATATAATAACAAACATTAGTAATTGTTAAATAATTAATTATAATTTTGAAAACATTATATAGAAATTCTTACCTTAAAGGCCCAAACAAAGCCTGACAAAGTGTATTTCGACCCATCGCCCCGCAAACTTTTGCGGTCATCAAAGGCAGACGACAACTTAGTCCAGGTAGCTTTCCATATATACGAACCCCACGGAAACAGATTCCATGCATTTAGGTCCTCTACCAATAATATTAGCTCCTGAGGAATAGGTTGTCTGGTCTCTCTACCTAAAAAGCCGGCATACAAAAGTAGTAGAAGGCATACTCAGACAACATCGACGTCATTCATCCGAGTAAAACCATCTTTCTTATTAAACAATTTCTTCATGTCGTCGACGTGTAAGTTCGGCTTCTCTATTGACTCATCGGGAAAAACCCTGGATAACCATGATGGGCGGGTGATATGACGAGTGTACCGGCCTACATCATCGTGTCCGAATCGTAGACCAGTGATTAAGCAGAACTCTTTCCGCCCAAAACAAGTATACGCCGGTGGAAAATGAAACCATATCTCTTCCTCACCGCGTTGTATACTGTCGGGTAGATCTCTAGTCATGGTCTGAAGCCACAAATGGGTCAAATTAGCATCTCCACCCGGATGCTGTACTCTCAGCCATGGCCCGAAGTAGGTTTCCTCAAACAATTTTCTTTGTGCAGGTGAAAGCTTCGAAGCAATTGTAGTGGCTAGGCTAACTTTATTCCTTAATGTCAATGAAGCCGAAAAAAATTTCTACAAAAACAATAAACATACCAAGTTAGATATACCAAAAACTACACTGTCAAGATATACCAAAAACAATAAACATAAATAGTAGTTTATTCTTGAAACTAAAATTTGCAACACTGTTTTGTCTTTTGGTTGAAATGAAAATCGCAACGAGATAATGAGAATCGCAATGCGAAATGACTATCGCAACGAGAGAATCGCAACGCGAAATGAAAATCGCAACGAGAGAATCGCAACGCGAAATGAAAATCGCAATGCGATTTTGGTTTCGCGTTGCGTTTTTTATTTCGCGTTGCGATTCTCTCGTTGCGATAGTTATTTCCGCGTTGCGATTTTCATTCTCGAAAATATTCTTCTTCTGCATTACTTCAACCAAAAGACAAAACAAAGACAAATACTAACTTCACAGGCTAAACAGTTTAGCAGTATTGGCAGCAATCGAATGAATTTAATAAGAAATCTAAGTGAAATGGTTAATCTATTATTGAAATTACCAGTAAACTTATCATCAATCTCAATATGAAAAACCTAAAATAATGCAAAAATTTCAAAATAAAAATAAAAAAAACTAACCCTCGGAGGTTGATTTTCCATTTCTGAATGATTGTGAGGGATTTTTGACTGTGAATGGTTGTGAGGGATTTCGCCGGCGATGGGGACGGAAATCTTCGGAGATGGGGACGGATTTCGTCGTAGAGAGTGAGAGATGGAGATGAGACTGAGTGTTGTGATTTTGGGTTTGAGGTTATGAGTTGCGATTACTGTGGACGGTTCAGTTTCCGATTTATTAAGAAAAAATTCGTGTTTGGAATTTGAAAAAAAAATACGCGTTAATACGAATGACACTATGTAAATCGCGTTGCGAAAGTCAGAATCGCGTTGCGAAAGTCAGTATCTCGTTGCGATTTTGTATTATCGCATTGCGATAGTAAGTATCGCATTGCGATAGTCAGTATCGCATTGCGATTTTCCCAATTCGCGTTGCGATTTACTTATTCGCATTGCGAATTGGGAAAATCACAACGACACTGTATACCATCGCAACGCGAAATGCAACGCGAATTTGCGATAATGGAGATCGTGTTGCGAATTAGCGATCGCATTGCGATTTTGTTGGTCATTTTGGCAAATCCAAAAAAAATTAATTAAAATCATATATTATAAGACATTTTTTGTCACTGAGACGATTTTTTCTTTTAAAAATATACTTTTACCTAAGCTTTTAAAAATGTCAGTGATTAGAGAGATAAAAATATATTGACAGAGAGGCGGCGAGCGTTGAATTGAAATGATACTCGTTGGATAACCATGACGTAATATCATGACACGTTTACGGTTATCACTTGAGTTCTATCGTCCCTCTCGGTCTATAAATTCGAAGGCCTTACTTCCCACAAACTCATTCGAGTGTTCTTCTTCTTCGTTTTGAATCAAAATCTCATTCGATTGAAAATGTCTTGCTGTGGAGGAAATTGTGGATGTGGATCCTCTTGCAAGTGCGGCTCCGGCTGTGGAGGGTAAAATTCATTTTCCCTTTCCAAACCGTTCATTTCCATAAAAAGAAATCCCCCCTTCTTTTCAAAATGAAAAAAAAAACTCTTTTCCATCAAACCGTTGATTTTGGTTGTTGATTTTGGTTATACAGATGCAAGATGTACCCAGACATGACGGAAATGAGCTTTGTCGAGAAATCCACAACCGAGACTCCTGTTCTTGGCATGGCTCCCCATAAACCGTACGAATAACAAATATCAAAAGAAGTGAAAATTTGGTTTTAAATCCTTTTTTTCCCCCTCACTGTTCGTTTTATTTTGATGCAGGCGCTTTGAGGGATCTGAGATGGGAGTTTTGGCTGAGAGCGGCTGCAAGTGTGGAGACAATTGCACCTGCAACCCTTGCAACTGTAAATGAGCCTAAGATTCAAGGAAGCAAGGAGAGCCCTCTCTCTTTTTAGCAAATAAATCTTCTTTGTTTTCTGGGATTATTAGAATAAAAGTAGCCATTGCTTATAAGCAAAACTTCATCAGGAATTTGCGTGTAAAGGCCATGGTTGCTTGGTGTGTGTTCAGATATTACAAATCTGAGGAGATATTATGATTCGCATCTATATTTTATGTATGGAAGTCAGGAAGCTACTTTGCCTTCCCCTTTGGTTAAAGATGTTTTTCTCGGAATCTTCAATGCATTCCTTTTTCTGGGATTGTGTGGGAACGTAGAAAGCGAAGGATTTGGGGAATTGGATGAGGCCAAGGTTTGGTGGGGTATTTTCATAATTACTCAACAAACTTTTATTCTCAAAATCGAATGGCCTAAACATGAATTCTGACTGCACTCTCCACACTGCTACTCAGCAGTGACAGACCAACAGGATATATGATTTCAAAGAATATTTACTTCGGCCCCATCAATCTCAATCATGTTGACTATTTGGATTCCACTATTTCAATATTAGCACTGACAGTAAATTATTCAAATTCCACTCTGTTAATTCTTAGATTTGGTTTAAACTCAATTACAGATTTTAAAGAATTAAAATAAGTTACTTAATATTCTATTTAGTATATACAAATTAAATTTTTAATTTTTAGAATTAAATTATTAATAATATTAATGTTAATATGTTATTAGTTTTTAAAATATAAAATTTTATGTATTTAAACTTTCAGTTTAAATTTGAGTTTAAGTTTGAATTGAACTTGAGTTGGAGCTTCAATCGGGTTAAGTTTGAAAATGTTTTGGATACAAGTTTCTTCAAACTCGAGTCAAATTTGAAAATTTTAAATTTTTGAGTCGAGCTTCATTTTTTTAATTTCGAGTTTGAATCGAGCTTAATAATTTTAAGTTCGTAAGGTTTCGAATCAAATCAAATTCAGCTTTAGATATTTTTTATTCAAGTCGAGGATGCGTGGATAGAAGTAAATAGGATAAATTACATGTTTAATACATAAATTATCAATTTTAGTTCTTTTAGTATCTTAACTTTTATTTGTTTAAAAATGCTACCTAATTTTTTTTGTTTCATTTCAGTACTCGTCATTAAAAACTTAATGATATTGCATCTTTTATGGATAAATTACATCATTCACCATTCAACTACATTTTCACTCTTATTTTAGTCACCGCAATTTAAAAAATGTCAATTTAACTAAAAGTTAAGTAATTAAATTAAAATTAAAAAAATAAAAGTTAAAGTGATTAAATTAGGAGTAAATTAAAAGTTAAGTAATTAAATTAAAAAAAATAAACTTTAGTGACTAAAATAGGAGTGAGAAGATAATTGAGTGATTAATGATGCAAGTTACCCATAAAAAAGTGCCACGTATAATAGTCCCGTTATGTTTTTAACGGTGAAGTATCAAAATAAAATAAAAAAAATAAATGTTAGGTATAATTTTGAAACAAAAGAAAGTTTAGGTATTAAAACAAAACAAAATTGATAGTTTAGGTACTAAATGTGTAGTTTACCCAAATAAATAATACGGTAAGAAGACAAAATATAATTATATTAAAAATAATATTTAATAAAGTTTGATCCCTTATTTTATTCCTATATATGATCCTAAAATAACGAAAACATCATCCATTGGCTAAGAGTACAAACCTGTCTCACAAGAACTAATAATTTTCATATGAATAAAGTTATAAACATTTATCGAATAAAAAAAATCCCTAATTACTACATCTTTTTTCAAGTCTCTTAATTCTAAAGGCTAATCCTTACATCTTGATTACCGAAAAAATATTTATTAAAATTAATTAATTATTAATAAATATCTGTTACATTAAATATGTCAATCTCTAATCAATAAACTTATAATTGAACCCCTATTAGATGTTATGTACTAGACCATTACCAGAAGCAAAACACACAGGTTTTGAAGCCATGAAGGATTCCTGTAAATATTAAAAATGCTTAACAGATGCCTTTCTTTCCCATTTGAATTTGTTCCTGCTCCATTGGGTTTCTAGGCACAGCCCACCATTAAAATTAAAACAAATCTATGCAATAATTTTAATTAAAAAAGTATCATTATTAATAAGGGCACTAAACCCTTAAGGGCCAAGTGTATTCCATTATTTAAGAAAAAGAATGTGAAATTTAGTTTAATATGGTAAGGAAAAGTTAAAAAAAAAATCAAATTTAGAATTATTTGGTTAAAAATAATTATAATTATAATTATATAGGAAATAGGATTGCTTCCGATTGTTAGTCCAATATGCCCTTCACTTTAAAAATATTTAAAAAAGTTGCCCCAAATGATTTCGTTTATTGTATTCTCAATCCAAGGGTCTAAATTAAACCTATAAAATAGCTATAAACTGCATGTAATCAGTTACAAACCGTTGATCTCCCATATTAAAGATATTCCGAGTACAAAACATTAAATTCAGTTAAAACGTATCTTTCTATTTATTTAAACCTCGAACGCCATCCCCCAATCCAACGCTCCAGAATCACCCGCGAAACCCAACGGCGGATCCGCCAGCCCTAAATTCGTTCGATATTTAACTGCTATTAAGTTGGGGCCTTTGCACAGCTAGAGTGACTGCCGTTTGAGGTTCAAAAACTTCCCACCACGTCACCCCTAACGTTAACTTTAAAACCGTTAACCCAAACCCACAGAGTTTTGAAAAGCCTGGAAAGAAGAAAAATAAGACGTTAATTCTCCTCCATAACGGCAGTTAACGGAGACGTCGGTGATGATATATTCGTTATAATAATCCTTGGCCTCTTTTTATATAAATAAAAAACTCTTTGTTTTCCTCTCTTTAGATTCAACGGGCGAGGATTTCACGAAACCAAGGAAGCAACGTTTGAGTTCCTTCTAACAAAGACCTTTTTTTTGGTTCGAAAAGGGATTTTTCTCGAAGGAGCTGGAGCTTGATTCCCGCCACTCAAGTGGGTTTATGTTCTTGAATCATAATTCTTTTGTTTTGATTTTTTATGTATTTACTGTTATAATCATTTTCTTAAGCCTCAAGTTCAATTGATTCGTGAAATTTTCATTGTTGTTTTTACTTTTTCCGGGTTTAAACCCTAGAATTATGTTTAAGCGATGTGGGGTTTTGTTCTTTTTTCTTGTTTTCTTTGTTTCTTTTATCTGGTTAGTGAATTAAGATCTGAGTTTTGTCGTTTTTCTGCGCCTGGCGGTGCTGTGGATTTGGGATTTTGGTTAGAAGGTGGGGTTTTAAGGATTTGAAACGGTCATGAATCAGTTAATAAATGTTTTTCCTTTGTTGTTTCGAGATTATTGTAGAAAGTGATGGCTGAATTAAGGATAGAAGAAAGTTGTCTTCAGAAGAAGCAATTAACCACCGCCTCAAGTTCTTCTATATCCGAAGATGGCGGCAATGCGGTTGTAAAGTCCCCAGGTGTATCTAGTCCGGCACCAACATCACCAAGTCACCGGTATTGTTTCGGATTAACTTCTTTAGTTTTCTATTTTTTGCTCTACTTGTTTGGATTCAGCTGATTCTGCTTTTATTTTTTTTTTCAAACTTATGCTTTTCTGTTTCGGTGCAGTTTGTGATTACTAATTACATCAGATATCGATTCACCAGCACAGATTGTTGAGCATTTGTTTCTAATACTCATACTTGCTGTTAGCAAATTGCATTGAATTTTAATGTTTTGAATAATGTTTCAACCAGCTGTGAATAATTGTATTTTCATACTGAATTTTCAGGAGAACTACTGGCCCTATTAGGCGAGCAAAAGGTGGTTGGACGCCAGAAGAGGTAAAGCATTTTTTCCCTTTGTATTTGCATTAATTTCTATACGAAATATGGTCTAGGTAAAATGTTTTTTTTACATTCGGCCTTATGGGTAGAAAACCATTTAGAAGACAATCTAGGTGAGTTGTTTCATGGATTGTAGAACAATTGAAGATTCATTCATTGTTTACTCTTGTTCATTCTTTGGAGTTTTTGCCTTTTCTGTTAACATTGTTTGATGTTTTTATTGATTCCAGGATGAGACGTTAAGGAATGCTGTTGCAGCTTTTAAGGGGAAGAGTTGGAAAAAAATAGGTTTTATTCATTCCTTTGGAATTTTCGTATTTGTTACATGTGCTATTTTTATATACTTTTGTTGTCTGACAAAAAAGTAAGCTTAAGGTCATAGAGGAATGGGTAAAAATCATCATCTTGGCCTTTACATTTGTTTCAATTATGGTATCTGCTATGGTCTAACGGGTGTTAATATTTTCATATGGTGCAGCTGAATTTTTTCCAGATAGATCAGAGGTGCAATGTCTACACAGATGGCAGAAAGTCCTGAACCCCGATCTTGTTAAAGGACCTTGGACTCAAGAGGTAGACCTTTTAGGCTCTTTCCTTTACACTATCCATTTTTTTGCAACTCATAAAACAGGCATTAATCTATCTGTTGCTTTTTCTCCAGGAGGATGATAAAATTATTGAACTTGTATCAAAATATGGGCCCACAAAATGGTCTGTTATTGCAAAATCTTTGCCTGGACGGATAGGGAAACAATGCCGTGAGAGGTAATAATTTAAATTTTACTTCCTATTATTTGCATTCCTAGAGATTCCTTTAAACTGCTAGGTAATTTATTTGTATGTTAACTAAATTATGTACCAAAGTTTGTTAATTAAGTTTCATACAATGAGGCTATTGGTATTGTTCTTTTTATTAACCCATCTTGATGTCCCAACCTATTCACATAAAGAAAATGAATGGTTGATTATTCCATGCTTTATCAATGTTCTGCAGATGGCACAACCATTTGAATCCTGATATAAAGAAAGATGCTTGGACGTTAGAGGAGGAGTTGGCCCTTATGAATGCGCATCGGACATATGGGAACAAGTGGGCTGAAATTGCTAAAGTTTTACCTGGAAGGTATCGTTCTTTTTAGTTTGTAACTTGTGTTACATAGCTTGTGTTCTAAAGCTTTGCCAACATATTTGATCAAAGGGATGTTAGTAAATCATTTTTAAATGCCATTGAAGTGTTTTCATGTTGGCCTTAGCTTACGGTGGATTCTGTTTATACAGGACTGATAATGCAATAAAGAACCACTGGAATAGTTCCTTGAAGAAGAAGTTAGATTTCTATTTGGCTACAGGGAAGCTTCCGCCAGTTTCAAAGAATGGTTTCCAAAATGGGACTAAGGATATAAAAACACCTACTAACAAAATTTTCCTAGTTTGTTCGGAAAAAGAATCAGGTTCCCCTGCTCAAACATCATCTGAAACAACAAATACATGTAAGCTAAGTGAAGATGGGAAAGACCGATTGGAGTCCTCTGCTCCAGTTCAAGATATGGTTACTTCATCAAGTGTTGCTCCAAATCAGTCCGCTGATACTGAAAGTGCAAAGTGCAAGCCGCGGTCATCTGATGTAAATCCGTGCTGCAGTAACTCAGAGTCGGGGGTGAAGTTCGTGAATCAAGGAATGAGCTCTCAAATTGGTGAAGACAAAGTTTGTGAGACACAGGTAGGGCTTGACACTCCAACTTATGGCTCTTTATGTTGTGAATCACCTAGATTACGAGGTGGTACTACATTAGATTCAGAAAATTTTAGAAAGGGAGTGCAGCACGAATGGACTTCTATTAAATCACCGATTAGTTTCTTCACTCCGCCTTGTGTGAAGAGCAGTGGTTTTGGTAAACACAGTCCCGAGTATATTCTTAGAATTGCTGCTAAGACCTTCCCAAACACACCTTCTATATTTCGAAAGAGAAAGTCCAAAGCCCAGTCACATGCAACGTGGAACAAGGATGCTTTCAAGGATATGATTCTAGTATCTGGTGAACTGGAAAGAACTGAAAACAGTATAGAACGGTCTCAGTTTCATGATGGAGATTCATGTGAGAGTCCTGCTTGTCAAGACAATAGCAACACTGGGCCTAATTGTACAGCTTTTAATGCATCTCCTCCATACCGGTTAAGATCTAAAAGAACTGCTGTTTTTAAGTCGGTAGAGAGACAACTTGAGTTGACATTCGATAAAGAGAGGCATGAAGGTAAGACAAAAGCTTTGGATTTATCATTGATCGGCAGCACTCCTGTTGAAGACCGCTTGAATACGACAAGGATGGGAGTCACATAGCGCTCAAACTGTAAGTATGGCATTGCATTTCAAATTTTATAGCGTGTTGTGTTCTAGTGATTCTCCATTGTGATTTTCTACATTGATGATCAGTCAGTTGTGTTCATGCTTCCGTCCCAAACTTTGCCCGATTAGATTGAAATATCATGATAAACTATCAAAACTTTGCAATCACACGTATGCATAGAATCATGTTTCTCTATCGAGTAGCTTTTTGCTATCTCATTCAAGTTTATCCTGTTGATTTTCTCTATGGGCTTACTAACAATACCAAACAAATTAAAAATGCAAGAAAACCAGTTTACCATTTATTTCATTCCCTCTCTCTTTCCTGTCTGTCTTATAGGGTGGGAGAAATATTCTTTTGAAGTTGGCTCGGTGTTTCCGAAGCAATGACATCCGGATTGAGATTTGTCGTCCCAGCAGACTATGCGGGGCACCTTCAATGCCATTGCTCGATCATCTTGCAGATATTTGTTAATCTGACACTCTTAGTGGTATCAAGACATACATGAACCCCAATCATGGACAAAATCCCAGATTTCCAACCTGTGTCGTTTTGAAGAATAGACTCGGTATTTTGTACACCGACTCCAATAGAATGTTCCTAAGCTGAGATAGAGAGGTTGAAGGGGTTTCTGAGATATTTTTCTGTTCCCTCTCATTTGCATACAAAATAACAATAATAATATATTCTTCAATACATGTTGGTTGATTCTCTTTGCCAGCCTCCTGACAGTAAAATGGAATTTGTCTTCTACCTTTTTATCATCAAACTCTACTCTTAAGTAAAGTCTTTCTAAGCGAGTTTTTTACCCTCAAATTCAAACACATTTGCTGATTCAGATCCATGAGGCCAAAGCCACCCTTTGGTAAGCTTTGGGTAGAGAATGTAAAATGTAAGTGTCATAACCATTTTTCAGGTGTAACAATTATTTATTGTTTTACAAATACAGTTATGACTTTTAGTTTGGAAAATTGGGTGATTTTGGATTTGTTTGAATTAAATTGAAAAGAGTCGTCAACGACCTTTAGGTTAGGTATGTCGAATTCCTAAAAACGTTTTTTAAAAACAATTTTAAGAAAAATCGTTTTTTAAAACAAAAGTTGGTTTGCGTTTACTAAAGATTCTATTAAAACGGGTTTGGGAGTCGGTTACGCGTAGGGAAGGATTAACACCCTCACATCGCCCAAAATTGGTACTGTGTCGCTTACACGTTGTCGTAATGTTGGAAATTACAAATTGAATATAAAGTTAAAAGGAACCGTTTATTGAACATTGTTTAATTTGCTTCAAATTAATTAATTACAGAAAATTCTTTAACTCGAAAGGAAATCTCGAAATTAGCAATCCTCCATCTGGAAAGCTAACTCGATTATTTCTTATCAATAAAAGAATATTCCCTCATTAATAAATATACAAATCGAATATAAATGAAAATCGACGATTTGCATTCGCATATAGTGAAATAAATTGTGAATTAAAATAACACACATTGTCATATTGGATTGTACCACTTCGATCAAGTGATACTTTTCACGCCCGATCTACAAATTCGCGTTCTCGAAACTATTCAAATAACATTAATATTTAAGGAAATATAATAGAAACACATATGATGTAAAATAAAATATTTACAACATAAAATAACAACATTTACAATATGTACATACATAGGGGATTGAAAAGAAAAAAAAAATAAATATTACAAACCGAAATAAAACAACCAAAAAGTAAGTACTTGAAATTACAAGGACCAAAATAGTAAATACAGGAACTTAGGGACTAAAATAGTAATAACAGAAACCAAAAGGGCTAAACATTAATTATAAAATAAATCAGAGGGCAAAATCACAAATATGAAATAATACAAGCACTATAAATGTAAATAACCCATAAATAATATTTCGGACCAGACTGAAATAAATCGTAACATAAAGGATCAGATAATAATTAAATCCAAATTCCAACACTGATTAAAATACAATATTTGCAAATATCAGGGCCCAAATTCGAATAATAAAAAATATTATATACCACATGAAATCAGTGACTAACATGAAAAAATTACAAACATTATAGCCAAAATTAAATATTTACAACAATAATAATAACATATAATAATAAGACCAAAATACAAGTTTTGAAACATTAAGGCTCGAAATCAAATGAACATAATTTCATTTAAGGGTTGATACATAAGATTACAAAGACAAAGGGACTAAGGGAACTATTTACCCTTAAGAAAAAACACGCAGAACCCCCAACAAACGACGTCATTTTATGTTCGATATATAAGCCCAAAATGGGCTTTGTTTAACATTCTTCCCCCATTTGTTTCCTTTCAAATAAACGAAGAGAGAGGGAGTTCTCTGAAACTCTCTCAAACGAAGAGAGGTCGGGCATTGTGGCAAGACTCCTACGGCGGAGCCACGACAGCAAACGACAGCGTACAACTGTCAGAGGAGACCAAAAGGCTCCAAAAGATTCCTCTATTCTCACTCAACTCGAAACCCGACCCCATTTCATAAAAAAAAACCCTAGATCACTAGATCTAAGGTTTTACCTCTTGAGATTTTTGACAAACGGTGGCTTTTGGACTTTCCCCTTCGAACCGAGGTACGTTCTTTACTTTTCTTTTCACTTTTTTCAGTGTTTGGCTCAAGTGGGAAATATTTTTCATATTTTTTCTTTAATTTTCTCTTTTCCTTTGGGTTTGAATTGGTTCCCCTCTTTTTTTTCCTCCATTCTTTTTGCTCTACCCCGAATGGTTTCTCTCTAATCCCTGATTTTTCCTCTCTTTTTTAATTTTGTTTGCTTTTTTAGCTCGAATGTGGTTTTCTTTTGTTTTTTCTATTCGAGACCCTTCGATTTTAAAGGCCCTCAATGTTTTTTTTTCTCTCCCCCTTTTCATCACCGAATCTCCCTTGATTTATGGTTGATCTCAAATGGGATGTGGGCTCGGATTTGGTAAGTTGAATCCCGGATTTTCTGGGATTTATATTTCTCTCTTTTTTACTTTGGGTTTATTGTTGGTAGATTTTTCAATGGCAGCGTCAAAGGATATCGACAACGGCTTCGGGATGGCTCGACGAAGCGCGGCTCGGTGTTGGCTTGATGGCTCAGTAGCGTCACTGGCGATAGAAACATTGGCTGGTGGCGGAGGCTGGTGGATTAGGGTTTAGAAACCGTAATATGTTTTAGGTTATCATTGGGTCAGGTCGGGTCGGATTCGGGCCTGAACCGAGTCTGGATCGGGTCTCCATTTGGATCATGGGCGGCTTAGATTTGTAATCTGATAGGCTTTGTTTTGTGGGTCTGCACAAAATGTAATAAAAATAATTAATAATAATAATAATAATTTTACCCGGGTAAAAATGGGTGTCTACAGCTGCCCCTCTTTGCTCATTCTTGTGTTAACAAGAATAGGGCAAAGACGAAAAAGACAACCAATTTTTGTTCTATTTTTTATTTAAAATTGATGGTGTTTGTTGTTTGGAGATGACACTGCTCATACACAATGAAGAGTTTTGGTCGTCTAAGGGTTGACACGGCTCCTACGTGATGAGGAGATTAGGTCGGGTGATGACACAACTCATACGTGATGAAGAGTTATGGCCATCTAAAAATGATAACACGGTTCCTACATGATGAGGACGACTGGTTATCTAGGGGTGACACGACTCCTACATAATGAGGAGATCTGGTCAGGTGATGACAGTGCTCATCTGTTCATGAGTTTTGGTCATCTAAAGGTGATAACACGGTTCCACTCTGATGGAGACAGCTGGTTATCTAAGTTGAAACAACTCCTACATAATGAGGAGATCTGTTCAGGTGATGACACTGCTCATCTGTTCATGAGTCTTGGCCATCTAAAGGTGATAACACGGTTCCAATATGATAGGGACGACTGGTTATCTAAGTTGACACAACTCCTACATAATGAGGAGATCTGATCAGGTGATGACACTGCTCATCTGTTCATGAGTCTTGGCCATCTAAGGGTGATAACATGGTTTCACTCTGATGGGGGATGGATGGTTATCTAAGTTGACATAACACATACATAATGAGGAGATCTGGTCAGGTGATGACATTGCTCATTTGTTTATAAGTCTTGGCCATATAGGGATGATAACACTGCTCATACAATGATAAGTCTTGGTTATCTAGGGTTGACACTGCTCATCTGTTCATAAGTCTTGGCCAGGGGATTTTGGTTTCAAAAGAAACCGATTCAGAGATAATGCTTCAAGCTGTCTTAAACTAGACAAAATTTTTGTTTCCTAGGAAACAAAATCAAAGATACTTTATGTCTCAAATGAGACAAAATTTGTTTTGAAAGAAAATTATTTTAAGCGAGACAATAGTTTGTTTAGAGAGAAACAATATCAAAGGATACTGATACTCTGCTTATTCCTGCTGGTGGAGGAAATACCTTCAGAAGATCTGATCATTCGTATCAGGATTTTGAATCCCCAAAGATGCCCCAATATTCGATGTTAAATCTCCAAATATGCCTTAACATTTGATGTTGAAACTTCAAAGATGCCCTCATTGTTCCTCGTTTATTACTTTAACGCAGATTCTAAGCATAAACTTTGTGTCTGAGAGCCACATGTCATTTACCAAGATCTACTCTAGAGAGATTTTCATGTTTGAAAAGTGTTTTTCTTCTTCTTTTATTTTCAAAATCTGAAAATATCAATTAGAAGAGTTTTGAAAAATGTTTAATAAAAGATTTTGAAAATATTGCTCATTTTTAGGTTTTACAAGTGTGATAAATCATAAAACTAGAGTTCATTGGATATCAAAGAACTAATTACATTGTTAATCTTTCAATAAATTATAGTTAATTGACAAGTGTCAAGATCAAAGTTATCTTTGGGAAATGATTAAGTAAGGAAAGGGTAAAATGTCTCAGGTTGTTGTTTTTGGTCAATAGTTTGGCCTTCTTGTTTCTTTGATTCTCACTGATTTGATGGGGTAGTTTGTATGCTCCTCTACTAGAAGTGATCTCCGACTCCCAGCTCTCATGGTCACACTCAATTGTATGATGCCTTATCAAGAAATTTGTGCGATCGCCTCAGCTGCACAATTTTTATATTCGAGTTGACTTTTCTGGTTTTCAACTCAAATCCTCCTTTGCTTTCAAGACATTATTCATAATTTATATCTTGAACCCTCTTTTTTATTTTTCTCTATCATGCATTAAAGATTTTAGAAAACATTTTGCAAATAAAGATTAATCCTGATGTGTGGGATGAAATCTGAAGATAGTCTCTTCTGTTTCGAAATCCATGTATGATTAGAAGGGACTTTTAAAGCATGTAATGTAGGCTATGGTTCATGGTTATGAAAGAAAGGGATAAATAGACCCAAACAAATTTTTAAAGGTTATTAAACCAAGGATCAATTCATTCTGATGCCTTCAATCTTGTATTGCTCAATTTGAATATGCTCGTATGTTTTTCTCTTGATGCTTTATCTGGATGCTCCATGATCTTCGAGTGAAGTGATTCAATGATTCTGAAATGATTGTACTAGATCAATCTCATAGTTTGAAGTTTGATGCGCCATTCGTCTTGAGGGAATCTTTACATGTGATTCTTGTCCCTTTTTCTTTGTTTATTTTATCTTTTTGCTCTTTGCTTCTTTTCTTTTTGCTCTTTCTTTGCTTTTTTTCTCTTCGTTTTGATTGGATCTTTGCACTTGGAATTTGG